CTTGAAGCCCAACAATATCTGGAGGGTCATTGATGGTTTAGGGCTTTAAAAGTAGTAACTACCAGAATTTGTAACCAAGGCTATTGCAAATTAACTGCAGCATCCAGTAAGTAGAGATTGCTCAGCATTGTAGGTCAGTGTTGCAGGTGGTATGGTGGTGAAAGGTAAAGGACCCCTGACAGTTAAGTCCATTCGCAGACGACTCTGGGGTTGTGGTGCTCATCTCGCTTTACAGGCCGAGGGAGCTGGCGTTTATCTGCAGACAGTTTTTCCGGATCATGTGGCCAGCATGACTAAGCCGCTTCTGACGAAACCAGAGCAGCGCACGGAAACTCCATTTACCTTCCCGCTGGAGCGGTATCTATTTGTCTACTTGCACTTTTTGGTGTGCTTTCAAACTACTAGGTTAGCAGGAGCTGGGACCAAACAACGAGAGCTCACCCCGTCACGGGGATTCCAACTGCCGACCTTCTGATCGGCAAGCCCAAGAGGCTCAGTGGTTTATGCTCTTTGGACTGATGAGAAAGGTTTTATGGGTGACATTTTTGTGTCCCGATTTTCATCTGTAAAATGTTGATGGCATACAGATGCTCCTGAAATACCAGCTTCAGGACTTTCTGCAAGTCAAATGTTTGCTCATAGCCATGGTATTTGTTTATTCTTCCACTTCACAGGAACCTTTCTCCCACTGACTCATGTGGGATCCTAAAATATTCTCGTGGGTGCTGCCGTGCGGCTGCTCCCGTCGAGACAAAGTATGCTTTCTTGCTTGACGTCACTGCGTGAATAACGTTCAGCTGTGTGTGAGAAAATAAGTGGCAGCAGAGGCGGGAGAGATACATATATTGAGGATGTGGAAGGGGAAGGAGTGTCAGTTCTCTAGGGGCTCTTAAGGGAGCAGGTGGGAATGACCTCAGAGAGCCAGGAAGACAGTTGGAAAAAGAAAAAACTCAAAACATAAAACCAAAACATGTTTTTTCTATGTAAAAATATAACTTGCTACAAATCAGATCGTCCATGAACTGTTTCCAAATAAACCACCCATTCTACTAATGGGTTTTTGGTGTGTGACTGATTCCAGGGGGGGGGGGGATCAAGCCAAACCCACATCTTGAATTTTCTGTAGCTTTTCATAGAGCTTGGATAAACACAATCTTTGGTATGTTGAAAATTCCCATCAACACAAACTTGTGCACAAAGAGTTGCAATGACCTTCAGGCAATGGTAACAACAAAAAGGCACTGCAATTATTTCTCTCTCCTTGCTCAGTTAACCATATTGTAGAAGCAGAGTGGAGGACACTCTCTCATTGAATTTAAGTACTTTGCATAATTCGAGATGCACTTCTCAGTAGATCCCTATGATACCAGTGATCAACAAGGCTTGAGAGACATGAGGAGTGTTTTGATTGGCCCTGAGTGACTCAAACTGTCCAATAGACTATTGTGACTAATTTCCATTTCCTGCTTTGGGGAGAATTTCCTTCTGTTCATCAAGGTTCAAAACTAAATATGGCTTTTCACTTTATTCACCAAACCTTAAATGATTTGCTTGTATTTTAAGCATATCATTAGTGCACTGAACATGTCCTTTGTTCTTTCCTTTGTTGCTTACAGAGTTGTTGTTTTTTACAGTCTGAAATTTGATGAATGTTGAGCATCGTGGATAAATTACATAAACGTGAGGAAATTCAGAAATGCAGGGATAACTATCACACTGAGATTATTGACATTCACTTGCATATGTCTGAAAAGGAGGCAAATGTATATCTCTTTGCAGGAATTCACAAAGGTTTTCTGAAATGCACAGCATTCTCATATAAATATCAGCATTAACCAGATGGACATCCACTCTAATATAACATGGTGGAGAACACCATCCTTCAACCTCATGGACTTCTGGGGCCGAAACTATGCAAGGAAAGCTACCAGGGCATAACTCTTCTTTCATGGGAAGAATCCCTGTAGGAGATAGTTCAGCCCATAGGTGAAGAACCAATGGAGACAATGGTTTGTTTGTTTGTTTGTTTGTTTGTTTATTAGTTTTCCTTTCACCCTTCAGCAATGTTTCCAGGGCAGCTTACAAAGAGTACAAATATATCAATGAAACCATGCAATCTGATCTTCAAACAGCATTACGATACCAATTGAAAACAATATTGAATTAGTTAAAATGGTTTTAAAGGCTTGGGAGAATAGAAAGGTTGCAAATGTCTGGTGCAAATAATCATTTTATTTTTTTAATGTTATTGGTGCCAGGCATGCCTCTTTTGGGAGATATCTCCACAGATGGATTCTGTCTCCCCAACCGCCCCCCCACCTCACCTAAGGTGGTGAGAGGCAGCCAGATTTCACCCGGTCTGCCTGAAAACTGCAACCCTCTATATAGGAAACTCTCCCCTCAATTCTCTGTAGCTCTGTTGATGCCGAGTCCCACACATGAATAGAATCAGATAGGACCATCATGCCTGAGGATCACTTGTTTGCACAGCTGACTCGAAGAGAGAAAATGCACTTGGCATATGCTCAGAGGCACTAGACTCTCTTAGCGGCTTAGACCTTGTGGTGTGGAGCCCTGCAGATCCTTTGTTCAAATTAAGCCTTGGAGGCAAATTAAGCTACACTGTGGGATTTAAATCCAGTGGGGAACTGGAAGCTATTTCCCACACTGAAATTTAACATACTATTCCTCTGGACTGCACAAACACTAAGGTTAGGCAGCCACATTGGAGGAACTGGAGACGATGTTTATAGCGCCTGCCTAACCTCCTGACACAGGGAGGCATGAATATCTCATCCCTAATGTAGCATCATAAGGCGAGACGAGACTTCCTCACTAACCTACTATTACGGGATGGGCTCACCTCCCAGCTGCTATCGTTCTGATTGTCATTCCTAATATGAATATATATATATATATATATATATATATATATATATATATATTCATCTGTCTCTTTTCACATCCCTTTGTCTTCTCCTCCTCCCTCCCTCCTTTCACAGCAGCTGCCAGCTAATTGGCCCTTTGATACCATCCATGGGTTTTTGCCAAAGATATCAAACTGAAAGGTGGGGGGGAGGGAGCAGGCAACCATTTGGACCCTCAAATTAAGACTCCCTGCTTCTCTCTCTTGTTCCCCCTCCTTCACCCAAAACCACATTCCTCAAAGCCCAGGCAGTATTTCCAGTGGATGAAGGTTGAAGTGTGTGCGCGCACATGTGCACCCTCAGACAACTTTGATTTCTTTTCTCAAGCTATCACAAGCTAACTTTGCAAATGTGGAATTCTCCTTCTCCCTCCCCCCCAATACTCGCATTGTTTCCTTCTGAAGCTTTCGTGAGCTCCCGATTTAATTAGGATGCAAACAATCCCCAAGGAATGTTTAATTAATATTAAAAGGGAAAATGGGATGATTAAGCTGCAAAAGCAGGGCGGACGGGGGATGGATGCTATTATTTATACAATGGAGCTGGCAGCCATTTGTTGAGGCAAGAAAAGTTACACCAGGGCAAAATCCTTCTTGGTGGGAAGTTATTCCCCCCCCCCACCCCCTAATTGTCTGCTTGGGCCTACTCTTAAATTTCTTTGGGGTTTTTTGCATCCAAGCAAAGGTTTTAAGTTCACTGTCACTTGTGCCTCTTCATTATAAGCATTTGAGGCCACGAGGCCCAAAAATAACCAAGAAGATGTCAACTGAGAAGTTGGCTGTGTAGGGAACAACCGTCAAGAGAACACCACCACCAACAAGAGAATCCAAAGGAACATTTGCTGTACTAAAGGGCATAATAGGGCTGACCTAAGAAATTTTGCTGCCTGAAGTAAAGTACAAGATGGCATTCCTTGCACTCCCCAATCCATATACAGAAGTTGACTAGATTGGCAACTGTTTCTTACGAACCAGCAACATACAATACAACCAAGAACAGTAGATATTAGTCAGTACAGGGTACACCACATAGTGCATACCAACACATCACCACCATTTCTGCCTCCCACGGCCCAGCATTGGCTGCCTGAGGCAGTTGTCTTGCTTTGCCTAATGGTAGGACCGGTCCTGAAATTACTTTTCTGAATGATGCCCTTCAGTCTCAGCTGAGTTGGGGGTGGGGTTGAAGGTTTGAATGTGCCCCGACATAATAATTACACAGATAACTAGTGTGTCAAGTACGGAGGAATTATGTTATTTTCTCTAACAAACGGTTTCTGTGTATTATGTTGCTTTATTTCCCCCTCCCCTTCCCCCGCCCCAACAATGGATAGCACATTTGAAATGTGCCTTCACATCTCCAGCCTGAAATGATGTCATCCAACACAAGCTTTATCATTTAATTCTGTTGGATGTAAAGCAGAAAGTGGCCCTAGCATGTGACACCCCCCCCCCAGACACATACAGCCAGAAGCAATATTGCTTGATCTGACATGTGGCACTGCTGTCTAACACTTCCTTATTAACTCCTCTGTCTTACTTCTGTGTCCCAAATAGTCCCTAGTGTAATCTCATTCACCAGCACACCAGGAAAAGTCTTCCCTGCCCCCCTTCTTCTCTTTCTCTTTCTCTTTAAGCAAGAAGCGGTGAAAAATGGAAGCTCTTTGAAGGCTGCTTTGATGCATAGATCACAGAATTGTATCAGCAAAAGAGAGCAAAACCTCATTTACTCCAATACCGAGCTGTAGGAAGAGCAGAGACAACATTTCAGAGCGTTCCGCAAAACGTTGGGATTTAAATGCAGGACTCTGAAGTATAAGCATGTCAGATTCCCCTTTTGAAGAAATCCAGTTTTTTTGAAATACAGTTTTATAAGAATAAAGACATCCTGTTGATGAAGCATCAATAAGGTAATAAAGACAAACACAGCACTATCACACCTTGTTTGCAGAATCCCTTGAATTATCAACAGATGTAACTGGAGAAATTGGAGAAACATTTCATTCTAGAATCAAAGAATAACAAAACTGTAGAGTTGGTCATCTAGTCTAGCCCCCTGCAATGCAGGAACCTTTGGCCCATCATGGGGCTCGAACCCATTACCCTGAAATTAAAAGTCTTGGACTCTACCAGCTGAGCTATCATATGGAGACTGAATGCATCCTTCTAGAACTATTGCATTTTTTCCCTCTGAAAAGAGCTTCTTGAGAAGGTGGTTCAATTCCAAAAATAAGAGTTCTTGTAGATCGGAGGTTTTTAAGCAGAGATTGGGTGGTCATCTGGCATGGATGCTTTAACTGGGATTTCTGCATAGCAGGGAGTGGGACAAGATGACCCTTGGGGTCCAACTCTACAATTCTCTTCTATTATTTTACTATTGATCCTGCATTACCATGCAATGTGTCCATCTGAAAACAGATGTAGTCAGTCCCGGCAATGGGGGTGTTTCACAGAGGTGAGTGGCATTGTGGTTGGGCATATATGAAGATTGCAATCCCCACTTCCTTCTTCATTCATCTGGGGCAGGAGCAGTGAGGAAAATGCACAGATAACTGAAGGTTTTCAGTATCCTTGGGGTTGCCGTCATGGCGTCTTTGCCAGGAGCAATTCTTGCCAGCCAAGAAAGCCCCAGTGTTTCAGAAGTGCTGTACACCTGTGATGCCAACTGACCTTCAGAGGAGCTATAGTTGCTTGCATCAGCCCTGTGGAAAATGCTGCCCAACAAGGATGAAGAAAGAGAGTGCGTAGGAGCCCCCTCACCCTTTTAGTTCTCTAGCAGTAAGTACAACAGCCAGTAAACTGGCAGCTCAGCTCCCAGGGTTGTCAGTGCCTGTTTGGAAAAATCACAGAGATGAGCAGCTTGGAGAGACAACAGCTGTTTAATGCTAGCATGGTTCTGGGCAATGGGCTGCACAGCCACAGCAAGAAGCCTAAACTACAAATTAAGTCTTTGTGCCATCCTCAAGGCCAGCCCTGCAGTTTACTTTTCTTTCTCCAAATATCCATAATGTCACAATGAGAAATCTTTATGATTTCAGAACCTGATATCTATCTATCTATCTATCTATCTATCTATCTATCTATCTATCATCTATCTATATCCATCCATCCATCCAGGGGTGAGCCCTGTGAGTTACTATGGGTTATAGTTGAAATGCCAACTTTGAAATGTTTCAAAAAAACAAAACAAAACAAAACAAAACCTATTACCACTGATGTTATCTTGCTAGTGTGTTAATAAAGAGCAACAAAATATATTCCAAGTCTGCTTCCAGATGTGGATGATTTAGCTGTACCCAGTTGCTTCTGGCCTGCATAAAGCTGGGAGGAAAATGGCAATTCATGACTCATGGATTCTTTGGGCAGAGGGAGCCATGACTGTTACAGTGTAACAGTGCTTTAAATGTATGGTGTGGATGGGATTCCTAGAGAGGAGAGATTTACTTACACAGAAGAACATGGCTAGAGAAATCTCAGACATGTTCTCTACAGCACATTGGGAAGAGTTTAATCCAGGACGAGCAAACAGGCTCATAGTGCATCTTCTGTGGGAGTGGGAGAAGAGGCCCCTGCTATGAGCTGAGGAATTCACATACCTCTCAAAGATTTTGCAAAGACAATGGTGGCTTCACCATGCAGCAACTATCAAAATTAAGCAGAAATAGGAAGCTTTGAGAATTCCCTGTCATATATGGCTCAGACTCCCTGGTAAATAAATCCACAGGCTCACTCTAGGAATGTTTCAGAGCCTTCAAGCCAGTGTGTTCTGCTACCCAGTCCATTTGAATCAAACAGCCCTGACGCTGACAGGCACAATTTCGGTAATAAACTGAGAGAATGACTTTTGCAGCATGCAGCTTGTGTGCTTGAGCTCTCTGTGAAGGAAGGGACATTCATAGGCCTGTAATACCCATTATTAGGACCAACTAAAATGTTACAAATGTATATTCAATGGGATTTATTCCTGAGAAAGGACTACGACCTTCCTTCCACTCATGAGCGTAGTGAATAGGTTTATGGTGCGATACATCTCTATTGAAACTTACAAAAGTTTTGCGGTTGATTTCAATTATTTCAATTGCACTCTTTGTCTTGTTGTGCCTTGCCTTCCCTTTTATACATTTTGCAAGGAATAAAACTGATGAAGACTGGGAAAAAAGAAGGGAGATTTGTCATAGAATAGACAAAAAGGACACTTTATTAACAGATAACAGCTTTAAAACGAATTTACAAAATAATACATTATGCCCCAAATAAATCACTTGAAATGAAAATTCTCTGAAATGCCGTAGCCTCAAGAGACCCTCTTCAGAGTCACATCTGCTCCCTTGCAATTTGAAGATAACTATAGTCTAGTTGAAGGGACGCGGGTAGCGCTGTGGTCTAAACCACTGAGCCTCTTGGGCTTGCCGATCAGAAGGTCGGCGGTTCGAGCCCCCGCAACGGGGTGAGCTCCTGTTGCTCAGTCCCAGCTCCTGCCAACTTAGCAGTTCAAAAGCATGCAAAAAAAAGTGCAAGTAGATAAATAGGTACCGCTCCGGCGGGAAGGTAAACGGCATTTCCATGCACTGCTCTGGTTTCGTCAGAAGCGGCTTAGTTGTGCTGGCCACATGACCCGGGAAAACTGTCTCGGCCTGTAAAGCGAGATGAGCACCGCAACTCCAGAGTCGTCTACGACTGGACTTAACTGTCAAGGGTCCTTTACTTTTTATAGTCCAGCTGGGAAAAGAGTGATGCAAAGCAAACTTTAGAAGAATGAAGGGTTGTTGTTGTTTTTTTTTGAGGTGGCAAATTCTCCTTTGCTTCATCATCAGAAATGGACCCCCAAGTTCCTTCATGCCATCCCTGTGTGAATAATGCCTAATCGTTTAATTCCATTTGTAGGGTTTGCCTAATCTGAACAATTTCCATTGCATCTGGGAACTCTTGCTGTCTGCATTTATTACTAATCCTTTAAGAACAGTTGCAGGTCTTTGTTGATTAAAAGTAACACAGAAGGAGCAGAAATAATGAATGTGGTTTTTTTGTTTTTGTTTTTTAAAGAAAACTGGTTCCCTGTCCAGCCTATCACAATATTCAATGCATCTATATTCACAATCGCTCAGGAAGCAGTAAGGAGGATTTTATTATGTGCTATTTATGCACACATCCTACAAAAGCACATGCAGTTGGATCTTCAAGGTGATCATATTAGCAGGATGAGCCTTGTGGCATAAAATGAAGTGCAGTGGTCCATGGTCTATATTGTATGACCCCAAAAGCCTGTAGCACAGGCCTTATACTGCAAACAGTCAACATTAAGCTTCCTATGGCAAAGGCTGGAGCTCAGCTATGAGCCTTCCATATGGCTAAGTGGGTAATACCGATGGGCCCATTAGTTGTGGATCAATACTGAAGGTTTAACTTTAACTGGTGACGCAAACAGATCATTTGGTTGACAGACTGAACTGTGAAAATGAGCTACATTTGAAATTAAGGCACAGACAGGAATAGGGGAACAAGCAGCCAGAAGCTTCAGGTAGCTATTCATGTTTGAGCAGGCTGGATAGTTGAGAGGTTTTACAGTTACACCTACAAGTGGCAGTCAGGCAGGCAGATGAGGAGGGACCTGTCCTTTGCACACTTTTGTGTGCATATAACACCGGTCCTGAAAGACCTACTGGTACATTGGCTTCCAGTATGTTTCCAAGCACAATTCAAACTGTTGGTGCTGACCTTTAAAGCCCTAAACGGCCTCAGCCCAGTATACCTGAAGAAGCGTCTCCACCCTCATCGTTCTGCCCAGACACTAAGGGCCAGCTCTGAGGGCCTACTGGTGGTTCCCTCACTGTGAGAAGTGAGGTTACAGGGAACCAGGCAGAGGGTCTTCTCGGTGGTGGCACCCGCCCTATGGAACGCCCTCCCATCTGATGCCAAGGAAATAAATAACTATCAGACTTTTAGAAGACATCTGAAGACAGCTCTGTTTAGGGGAGTTTTTAATGTTAGATGTTTTGTTTTATTTTTAATATTCTTTTTTTGGAATATTTATTGAATTTTATAACAATTAATGATACAAATCTCATTCATCATGTTATTTACAATTATTCTCCCTCCCTTCCTCTGGACTTCCCTCAACTTCCCCTCTGCTGAGTTATTTAGTTTTATTTATCGTATCCTGCTTTTCCTACACAAAAATAAAATCCCTTATCATTTCTCTAAAATATCTGTTACTCAAATGAAGTTGTGAATGTTTATTCAAATCCTGCCAGTGAATCCAGTCCATTCTGTTGTTTCTGCAAATAAACTGTAAATGGTTCCCAGAATCTTTTTAACTCCTTTTTGTCCTCTCGTAGTTTGTCTGTTGGCTTAGCCAATTCTCCTTAGTTCATCAGCTTTTCTTGCCATTGTTCCTTTGATGGTATTTCTTCTGTCTTCCAATATTGTGCAATCAAGATTCTTGCTGCTGTTGTAGCATACATAAATAATGTCCATTTTTCTTTTGGTAGCTCTTCTTTTGGAAGTTTTTAATGTTAGATGTTTTATTTTATTTTTAATATTCTCTTGGTAGCTGCCCAGAGTGGCTGGGGAAACACAACCAGATGGGTGGGGTATAAATAATAAATTATGATGATGATGATGATGCAGAGTCCATAAACCACAAAATACTGAGTCCACATTATTAGAAACCTTCAGCTTTAACTTTGCTACCGAATAATTGTCCAGAAGAATTTTAATACAGCAGAGAATATTGGGTAAGGGAGATGGGAGGTGAGAATGGGAAGGGGCATGTGCTATTGTAATTGTCTTCCAAACAATAGAAGTGCTGCCTCTTTGGAAAAGCAGATTTTGGACTTTCATGGGTTATTTTTGAGCGTACTAATGAACAAAGACAGACAAGAAGTGGCAGGTCCTTCTAGGCTAATTCATTGACCTCCTTCACACTGGATACTCTAAGCCAGCCTGCTCTCCATTTCATTTTAAATTATCTTCAGCCATTACACTTCTAATCGGAGCAGCAAACATTTTCCAGCTCATCTTTGACCTTGGGGTATCAGGGTTAGGTGGCTAGAAGACTGAGCCAGCCTGTGGCTCCACCTCGACTTATTATTCAAAATGCCTTGTGGAAAGCCAATGGACTCCATAAAACCACATGCCTAGGAC